TTTTAGTAGAGACGGGGTTTCACCATGTTGACCAGGATGGTCTCGATCTCTTGACCTCGTGATCCACCCGCCTCGGCCTCCCAAAGTGCTGGGATTACAGGCTTGAGGCACCGCGCCCCGCGACACTGCTTTTATAATGGAAAAATAATTGGCATACTAGCACATACCCACTTCATGCCAAGGCTTGAGCTCAGCCACGGACCTTGGTGCCCAGACCCTGGAGGAGCTTACATTCTCCACAAACAGTGAACAGTGGCTTTAATCTTTCAGGTCCCAGTATAATGTCACACAACACATGCCCAAAAAGTGAAATAAACCCCATGGTGAAAAAAAAGGCTTCCGGGGGTAGGAGGGGTCAAGAGAAGGAAAAACCTGTCCTTAGCACCCTTTAAAAGAGGGGTGTTCCCCCTGTACAGTGCTGCCTCTGCATGGGCCTGGCCTGGCTGGCTGGCACTCGTCAGTGACTCTAACCTGCCTGTTTGCTGCACTCGGGATGAGACAACCTCACAGGTCAGGTGGAGGGTGGGGCGTGGGCACCAGCCAGGATTGCTGTCACCTACCCTCAGGAGTTACGAAGATCCTTCCTGTTTGTAAGCGGTCACACCCCAGCAGCCTGTATCCTACACCAGGACCCCGTGTGTCAGGGTGTCAGGTGGCGTGATCTGCAGGGGCAGCTCTGTGCCTTAGGGGCTCTTGGCAGGATGCTGAGGGCTTGCCTGCCGTGTGCATGGCTCTGCCACTCCCAGGGGGAAAAAGCTGCTCAGCTCAAGGTTTTCTGCTCAGTAGAGTGTGTGTTCTCTGACAACCATGTCCCCAGAGAGTTTAGACGCCCCTGGGGACGGCACTCCACACACGACAAAGACACAGGGGCCAGGGAACCCCAGCACCTGGCACCCTTTGTCCAGGGTTAAAATCATCCTGTGGGATCTGGTGAGAAGTTAGGTCGCAGGGGTGTAACTGATGTAGTTATTCTAATGAGTCACTTGTGAATAAAGCATTCTTTTAAGAAAAAACTTTAAAAGGTTAAAACATAAAAGCGTGACTGGAGGGTGAGCACGCACCATCTTGTCGGGGGTGTTCAGGTAGAGGTCGACGACATAACGGATGCGCTTCTGCAGCATGGCCTCATCGTCATCGGGGTACATCAGCCTCATGAAGTCGGGGTTCTCCAGGACGTCCAGAGTCAGCTGGCAGATGGAAGCCTGGTCCTCCTTGGCGGCAACATGCATCACATTGTACCTGCACCCTTCCTGAAAGAGAACCATGTGCTCTGAGCTTCCTCCCTGTCTCATGTGGACGCACCCTGTGGAAAGTGCCGCAGCCACGAAGGAACCTGTGACGCTGCACACCCACCTGCACGATGGTTGGGTTGTCCCCTGAGCCAATCAGATACCGGGGGTTGCTCCAGATGAGATCAGAAAAGGTGTCCTCCTCTCCCTTCTCCACAGCTTTCCGAAGCTTGGCAGTGAGGTCCTGCGTGCGGGGATTTTTGTAACTGTTGGCTCGCTCTTTGTTGACCGTTTCTGATTCAGACAAGCACAAACCATCTGTCAGTAAGAGACAGAATTTAAGAATGATTAGTTTCACCAAAAGTCACTCATCACCCACACACACTGTAACCAGGGATAAAGAGCTTTCAGGGCTGGCTCATGCCTGTAATCCCAGCACTTTGGGAGGTTGAGGCGGGCAGATCACGAGGTCAAGAGTTCAAGACCAGGCCGGGCATGGTGGCTCAAGCCTGTAATCCCAGCACTGTGGGAGGCCGAGGCGGGTGGATCACGAGGTTAAGAGATCGAGACCATCCTGGTCAACATGGTGAAACCCCGTCTCTACTAAAAATACAAAAAATTAGCTGGGCATGGTGGCGCGTGCCTGTAATCCCAGCTACTCAGGAGGCTGAGGCAGGAGAATTGCCTGAACCCGGGAGGCGGAGGTTGCGGTGAGCCGAGATCGCGCCATTGCACTCCAGCCTGGGTAACAAGAGAGAAACGCCGTCTCAAATAAAAAAAAAAAAAAAAAAAGTTCAAGACCAGTCTGGCCAAAATGCTGAAACCCCGTCTCTACTAAAAATACAAAAATTTGCAGGGGGTGGTGTCAAGTGCCTTAATCCCAGCTACTGGGGAGGCTGAGGCAGGAAAATTGCCTGAACCTGGGAGGCAGAGGCTGCAGTAAGCTGAGATGGTGCCACTGTACTCCAGCCTGGTGACAGAGCAAGACTCTGTCTCCTAAAAAAAAAAAAAGGGGGGAGGCACAGGTGAGAAATGATGAGATGGGCTCGTGGCCACTGATGCCAGCCCACAAAGGCAGTCAGAGCACCCCTGTGAGCAGAGCAAGCTGTGAGAGAAGCCAGACCCGGCTGCAATCTTGCTGGGAAAGGCTGTGTGAATGAGGCAAAGTTTGGTGAACTTTTTTTCAGAGACAGGGTCTGGCTCTGTCTCCAAGGCTGGAGTGTGGTGGCATAATCATAGCTCACTGCATCCTCAACCCTCCTGGACTCAAGTGATCTTCCCACCTCAGCCTTCCAAGTAGCTGGGACTACAGTTGTATGCCACCATGCGCAGTTATATATGTGTGTGTGTGTGTGTGTGTATATATATATATATGTATGTATTTTTAGAGATGGGGTCTCACTATGTTGCCCAGACTGGTCTCAAACTCCTGGCTTCAAGAGATCCTTCTGCCTCAGTTCCCAAAAGTGTTAGAATTACAGGCATGTGTCACCACACCCGGCCAGCGAACTCTGAAAGCTCGGTCAGTAGGTTGAGAAGAAATAATGGCAGCTGTGGCCAAGGGAGCATGACCAGCAATCACACGAGACCTCCACTGTGCACAGCGTTCCTGCAAAGGTCGAGTGCTCCATAAGTGATTTTTTTTTTTTTTTTTGAGATGGACTCTTGCTCTCTCGCCCAGGCTGGAGTGCAATGGCATAATCTCAGCTCACTGGAGCCTCTGCCTCCCAGGTTCAAGCAATTCTCCTGTCTCAGACTCCTGAGTAGCTGGGGTTACAGGTGCACACCACCATGCCCAGCTAATTTTTTTTTTTTGAGACAGAGTTTGCTCTTTCACCCAGGCTGGAAGTGCAGTGGCGCTATCTTGGCTCACTGCACTTCTGCCTTCTGGCTTCAACCGATTCTTTTGCCTCAGCCTCCCGAGTAGCTGGGATTACAGATGCCTGCCACCACAACCGGCTAATTTTTGTATTTTTAGTAGAGATGGGAGTTTACCATGTAAGCCAGGCTGGTCTCGAACTCCTGACCTCGTGATCCGCCCGCCTTGGCCTCCCAAAGTGCTGAGATTACAGGTGTGTGAGCCACCATGCCCAGCCTGATTTATGTCTTAAAGTGATTTCCTTCTGAGGAAGCTTCCCCACCTGAAGCTATACCTCCTTCCAGGACTGGGGCATCTGCACAATCAGGCTCATCTGTAGGAGCATCCAGCCAGAAGTCTGACCCATACCCACCTCCCAGCTCAGAATGAGGGTTTTGTTTGAAGACACTCAGCTGGGGAACTGAGGCCAGACAAAAGGGAAAGCCAATGATCTATAACACGCGGACTGTGAAGAGCGCCTTCAAACAAAACCCTCGTTCTCAGCTGGGAGGTGGGAATGGGTCAGGCTTCTGGCTGGACACTCCTACAGATGAGCCTGATTGTGCAGATGTCCCAGTCCTACAGGTTGGTATAGCTTCAGGTGGGGAAGTAGACTGATCTCAAAAAAGACCCCAGGCTAGGCACAGGGGCTCACGCCTGTAATCTCGGCACTTTGGGAGGCTGAGACGGGAGGATTGCTTGATGCCAGCAATTCAACCAGCCTGGGCAACATGGCAAAACCCTGTCTCCATAAAGCATTTTTAAATTCCATGGCTGCGCATGGTGGCTCACACCTGTAATCCCAGCGCTTTGGGAGGTTGAGGTGGGTGGATCACAAGATCAGGAGTTCAAGACCAGCCTAACACAGTGAAACCCCACCTCTACTAAAAATACAAAAAATTAGCTGAGCATGGTGGCGTGCACCTGTAAGCCCAACTACTCAAGAGGCTGAGGCAAGAGAATCGCTTGAACCTGGGAGGTAGAGGATGCAGACAGCAGTGAGCTGAAATGGCGCCACTGCACTCCACCCTGGGCAACAGAGCAAGACTCCATATTTAAAAAAAAAAAAAAAAAAAGGCCGGGCGCGGTGGCTCAAGCCTGTAATCCCAGCACTTTGGGAGGCCGAGGCAGGTGGATCACGAGGTCAAGAGATCAAGACCATCCTGGTCAACATGGTGAAACCCCGTCTCTACTAAAACTACAAAAAATTAGCTGGGCATGGTGGTGTGTGCCTGTAATCCCAGCTACTCAGGAGGCTGAGGCAGGAGAATTGCCTGAACCTGGGAGGCGGAGGTTGCGGTGAGCCGAGATCGCGCCATTGCACTCCAG